TTGAACTGCCAGCCTTCTGGTTAGCAGTCAAGTGCCTTAGGCACTATGCTACCAGAGCTTAGTCCATAATGCAGCCAAAAAAAAAAAAAAAAGTAGAATTTGTGATAAAATGGAAAATACTATTATTACAATTCTGGTAACTAAATAAAGTAACTACCTAAAATACAGCCTCAGATACATCTTTTTTAAAAATCAGTCAACCATTATACCCGAAGAACTGGATGGTGCCTGGCTACCATTACTGAACATTTTGATCAAAAGTTCTATAGAAGAATCCTAATCAAAAGGAGAAAAATGCATAAGAAAATTTCAAAATCTTAAGTGTACTCCAGACTTTTTGGAGCCATGGGGGCTAGATAGACTTATGAAACTACTGCCCTGAGATAATCTTTAAAGCTTAAACCAAAAATATTTCCTGAAGTCTTCTTAAAACCAAACAATAGTTTAGCTTAACTAGTAAAAGATTCCTGCCTTGAGCATTATGCCTTTTAAGAACTATCTCTATGGATCAAACTGACCCCAGCATCCTGAAAGATTAGATAGGAAACTTAAGGGACAGTAACTTATGTTAATGTGGGAGAAACATCTCAGAAAAGGAAGGTGAGGATGGTCACCCAACTCAAAGATTGTGATAAATGCAACAGAATTGTATAGTACAAACAGTTAGATTGGTGTGTATTGTCCTGTGTGTATTCTCAACAACAACAATTTTTTTTTTTAAAAAGTCAGTAAGCAAAAAATAAACCAAAACCAAAAACCAAACCAAAACAAAATTAGTCGACAATCATTTGCATTTCCTTGTAAATATAATGATTGAGGAAGAGAAAGTTTAATAAAAAACATTTTGAGAATTTTCTGAAGATGATTTCTGGGCACTTTTAAGTTTCAAGTTTTATGGTACTTAAAACATATCAACTATCTTTCAAAATATGTTGCTCATGAGAAGTAGTAGATGGTACTGGGATAGACATAGAAATAGCTTTGAACCAGACTCTATTATTCATTAGTTATGTGATTCTAGAAAGTCCTTTAACCTATTTGAGGCTCTGACAAAATTGTAGACAAGACTGCTATAAGGAAGAGTGAGAACGCATAATGAAGGTCCTAGCCACATTACTGACTATTAATAGTGAAAAGTAGCATGGACTTATTAAGAAGGCAAGCTCTATAAACTGATTGGGAGGATTTGAATCCCAGTTCCATCACCTACTAAATATGTGATCATGACAAATTACTTAACCTCTCTGTGACTCATTTATTTCACATGTAGGTTAGGGATAAAAGTAGGAACTCGCCTATGAGGAATATTGAGAAGGTTAAATGAGTTAATAAACATAATACACTGTAGCAAGTCCTACATTAAGTGTTAACTTGTTTATAAGGCAAGATAGCATTAAGAAAGAGTTAAAATAATATGTGTGGATGTAAGATAGGTGGGGTGGGAAGTAGAAAGGAAGGATCTTTAAGTGGAGAAGCCTTGTCTGGGCTTGTCCTGGGAGCATGAGGTGCTGAAAGTCAAATAGAGGTGCCAAGTTCAACTTCTTAATGATAAGCAGAGGCTCCAGATACTACCAAACTAGTGCAGCTGTCAGGTATGTAAGGGCCAAGGGCAGGGCTTGGGATTGGTAGGACAGAGTCAAGAATTTAGAGTGGGACTGAGATGAAATTACAGCAAGAGTTGGGGGCATTGTGGCTCATCTCCATGGATCACTAAGTTTATGGTACGTGGGAGTGTTAGACCAGTTTAAGGGCTGGAACAGATTAGATAAAAGGATGAATATGAAGAAGGAAATGACAGCAGAACTTACATTACAGTATTAGAGAAGGAGATAATCAAAGTTATTATATTACTTTCCATGCTTTATAATGAGAAATGTCTGCAGGCAAGAGAGGGCCATGATTTCACAAACAGTATTGCCAAGTCTGTGAATTACAAGGCCCTATAAACAACCTTTATTAGATTTTAACTCTTCATATTTGTAAGATGATCAATTTTTCAAAATATGTCCACATATTTTGTGAACTAGCTCAAAGACTACTCAAGACATTCTTTTTCTATAAATGAGGAAACTGCTATATAAAGAGGTTAAAAGTTACCAACATCACACAGCTGGCTATAAGCAGAGGTGAGTTATAACCTGGGCTTCCTGACCCCCAGCTCCCTCTCTACTGGGCCAACCAACTACCAGAGTCCCTGGCTGGTGTGTGTGGGCTCTATCTAGAATGACATTTGCCATTGAAATGTGAAACAGGTACCTTTTCTAATCCTGCAGAACCTCGGAGAAAGAAATTCCATTCAGCATCAGTTAGGCTTCCTTGCTGACGCATAATTTCAACACAGAGCATAAAGCTGTAGATGAGTTTATGTTGTTCAAAAAGTCCTCTTGAAATATTGACATAAGCAGTCAGGAGAGTTTGTTCCAGGAGTATTTGCAGGCGCTTCTCTAAATTGCTTGACTTTTTAGAAGTTTCAATTGTTGTATTGAACAACTGTGTGAAAGAGAGCTTTATTAATGTTTTGGTTTAATTCATTCTCTGAGGGGAAAGGAAATCCCTGTTGTTCGCCTCCCTTCTCCCCATCCAAGATCAGTGAGTAAACAGCAACACAGGAGGTGAATACTGTACTATAAAAAGTTCAGAATCCATCTCAAATTGATACTTGATATTTACTTTTTGCACTCCTTTCTCCATTTGGAATGGATGAAACCCATTGCTGTCAAGTCAATTCTAACTCACAGCGACCCTATAGGACTGAGCAGAGCTACCCTATAGGATTTCCAAGGCTATAATCTTTATAGCAGAATGCCTCATCTTTCTCCCACAGAGCATCTGATGGGTTTGAACTGCTGGTCTTTTGGTTGGCAGCTGAATGCTTAATGACTGCTGCCACCAGGGCATATTTCAGAAACGGACCAATGCCAAACTCCTGACAATATGCAAAAGGTATCATTTTTGAGCAATACAGAAAACCCTGAAAAAGGTAGATACACTGATATATTATTGTTTTAACACAGCCTCAAAAAAGGATTTGGCAAACTCTTCATTTTGAGGTGAGAGATATAAGGACAAGGTAATGCACACTTCTTGGCACTTCCCCAAGTTAATGTCTAAGGTTAGGAAAGAATGTGGTGGACTTCTCTTTGAAGTTTAAGAGAAACTAATTTTAGAGGAAATTTCCACCCTGCTTCCTACATAGGAATTTCGAGAGAACCCTCTTCCCTCACAAATGCACCGCACACTACGAGGGCTCAAGGAAGGCAGTAGAGATGGTGGCATGGAGGGCACAGCCATGACAGGGTCAGAGGCAGCTCTTCCCATTTCCTACAACCTTCAAGTGTATGGGAGAAGAACCAAAAATTCACAACCTTAGGCTGTGTGAGGATATGGGACAAGGAAATCTTGAGCAAAGACTGGAGTATTAGTACCATCAAGGAGGGACACAGAGCTGCAGTCTCAGAGGACCCATAGCACAAGGAGACAAAGAAGACAGGTGAGGTAGTGCCTGCCTAATTCCTGGGTCACCTTGAGAGGAACCAAAACAAGTATAGAGAGCAGATGGATCAAAACAGACTGGAAGGTGGAACTAGCTGAAGACCAAGGTAGATCAGGGCCAGAATATACCCCAGTCCTCCCTAAAATACCATACTGCAATTGTACAGGGCTCCTCTGACCCACCTCTCCTGCTAACTGATGGTGCACACAGGGAGGGAAAATAGCCTGGGTCAGTGTCTCTTTACCAAAAGGTAGGCCTTCATTTACAAAAATTAAAAGCGCTTGGAGGAAGTGGACAATTATATTAGAGAACTGGGAAATTAAAGCTCCTGAGAAGTTTGGTTGACAAAGGGTAATGGAACCTTTGTCAACCAAATGTTTTTTAGCAACCTGACAAGAAGCAGAGAGATTAAAGCCCAGCGAAGATGTTGTAAGCTTGGTGCCAAAATAAAACACAGTGAATCTGAGAACATACTAAATGCTTTCTGAATAAACTGTGGATGGGTTTGGTAGAGTATGTTCTGACTACGGCTGCCACTTGCAAATATAGGTGGAGTTCTAGTTTGACTTTTAAATAGGCCTTTGATGATTCATCTTACATTCCTTTTTCTCTCAGTCTAAGATATTTTACAAACATATTTACAAGTATTGATTTGGGTGAAGGGAAAGGCAATATACCAAAAGTGAGTGAGCAACACAATAATACTAAGGAAAGGGAAGACACAGAGTGGTGCATAAGAGGTACAGACAATAAAGAAAAACACTTTTACACACACAACACTGCATTATCAATAACAACAAACATTAATCTACAAGTAGATACAATGGTAGACAGGCTGAATGATCAAATATGTCTGGGAAAAAGGGAATATACTCATGAACATACATAACTTTGGCAGCTGCTACTCTTACATATGTATTTGTATGTACTATAAGAATGTCCATATAACTAGAACTTACTGGGGACAAAGTTAAGATAACTTCTTAGCTAAGCCAACCACCGTGAGGGAGTGAGCTGGTGGTCCTGTGGGCTTGGAACCATGGTCACAGGGGACATCAAGCTCAATTGGCATAATATACTACACAAAAACATTGCTCTACATCTCATTTTGCTGAGTGGCAACTGGGGTCTTAAAAGCTTGCAAGCAAAGTAATTAGACCTGTGGGCTCAGGACCATGGTTGCAGAGGACATCAAACTCAACTGGCATAACATACTACATGAAAACATTGTTCTACATCCTACTTTGGCAAGTAGCAACTGGGATCTTAAAAGCTTGCAAGTGGCCATCTAGATGCAACAATGGGTCTCCTCATCCAGAGCAAAGAAGAATGAAGAAAACCAAAGATGCATGGAAACAATTAGTCAAGGGGACTGGTATACCTTGTGACCCTTAGCCTATATGACCATGAGACCAGAAGAACTAGATGATGCCTGTCTATCACTGTCAACCACTCAGAGGGGGATCTATGTAGGAGATCCTGGACAGAGTGGGAGAACAATATGGGACAAAACTCAAAATCATATTTAAAAATTAGGGACCAGGTTTGCTGGTCTGATAGAGCCTCATGGAATCCTTGAGACTATGGCCTCTAGCTGCCCTTCAGGTCTGGAATCAAACCCACTCATCTGGCTTCCAGCCAAACAAAAGACAGGCATATAAGCTGAACATTTACATTAGGTAGATATACTCCTTGGAGAGATCAATCATGGGAGAATAGAAGTGCTGTGTATGCACAGGGAGACAGCTTGGGAGGCAGGAGTACAAGGGAGGGAAGGACACAGGGAAGAGGTAACCATAGGGAGGAAGTGGAAAGAGAGCTGTTTGCATTGTGGGAGATTACAGTCAATGTCATGAGACAAAGTGTATATAAACTGCAGTATAGAAGATGAATTTGCTCTGTAAACTTTCACCCAAATAACAATAAAACTTGAATAAATAAAAAAAGCTCATAAGCAGCCATCTAGATGCAATAATTGGTCTCTCCTCATCTGGAGCAAAGAAGAACGAAGAAAACCAGAGAAGCATGGAAACAATTAGTCCAAGGGACCAGTGGACCATGTGAACCTCAGCCTATATGACCATGAGACCAGAAGAACTAGATGCAGCCTGGCTACTGCTGTCAACCACTTGGAAAGGGTTCAGTGCAGGAGATCTTGGATAGAGTGGGAGAAAAATGTGGAACAAAACTAAAAATCATAAAAAAGACCAGGCTTACTAGTCTGATAGAGACTGGTGAAACCCCTGAAACTATGGCCCCTCATTGCCTTTCAGGCCTGGCATTGAACTCACTCTTGTGGCTTCCAGCCAAACAACAGACAAGCATATAAGGTGAATATTTATATCAGGTAGGTATATCCTTTAGAACGATGAACCATGGGAGACACGAAGGGCAGTATTTACACAGGGAGACAGTTCAGAGGGCAGGAATACATTGGAAATAAGGACACAGGGAAAAGATAACCATAGTGAGAAAGTGGGAAGAGAGTGGTTACATTATGTGGATTGCATTCAATGTCATGAAACAAAATGTGTGCAATCTGCTGTATGGAAAATGAATTTGCTCTGTAAACTTTCACCCAAATTACAATAAAATAAAATGTATTTTTAAAATACATTTAAAAAAATATACGTACTTTTATTTTGCGTAGGAGTTTTTAAAACTTTGAAAAACACATACTTCCAGTAAGATGGCAGAACAGACAGACAAGCTACACAGACCCTCTTCAAGAAAGAAAAGAGAAACCAATTGACACAGATACAGAAGATAATCCTGGAGTCCCGAAGTTTGAAAGGAAGGATACAGAAGTGGATTAAACACCAATCATTAGAAGAACTTGAATGAAAACTGTGAGTAAGGAGACAAATGGAGCTGTGGACTGTCAGCTGTCCTGATGACACAGACAGCCTGATTATTTCCAAGTGGTGTTAGAACATGAGAATTAACCTAAAAATTGGCCTTGCTCACCAAGGGCCATATGGAATACTGCATGTGTAGCTGATGACTGAAAAGGGAAACAGCAAGAAGAAGAGAAACTGAGATGTGGACTTTAGGCAATTCAGAGGTTGCAGCCATTCTGAATGTTTACAAGTGGCATCCATTTTGGATATTTAAAGTTCTTGTTCAGTTTCCAGGGACCTAAGAATAGTTTTTGCTTGCCAAAGACAGCATGGAGATATGGGAGGCTCGTGACTAAAGCAGATAGGTGGTGAGTGTCTGAGTGCTGCCAACTAGCAAACAGAGGAGTACAGTACCCTGCTTATTCAGATACATCCAAACAAAACAAAGACAACAAAAATCTTGGGTGAATAACTCCAACATACAATCACTAATTAAATATAAACACAAAAACATCACAAGGTCTCAAAGACAACAGACCATTACAGTCCAGACAAAGAAACAAGATAAATAAGTAGAAACAAGGGAACAGGATACAGACCCAGAACACATCCTTGAGGAAGAAGCAGCATTGGAACTCCCTGATAAGGAATTCAAAAGAATTATATTTAGGTACCTTCAATGAATTGAAAGACAGATCAAGGAAAACACTGACAAAATTGAGGAAAACACAGAGAAAACCCTAGAACAATTTCAGAAGACAATATAAGAACAAAATGACAAAATAAATGAAAAACTAGAAATGGTACAAAATCTACAGATAGAAATCTAGAAGATTAACATTAAATTCTCAGAAATAGATAACACATTGAACGGGCAAAGGAGTAGAATCAAATCAATGGAAGACTGAATTAGTGAAATTGAAGACAAATACTTGAATACTTCTTTGGAAAGGGATCAATCAGAAAAAAGATCAAAACAAAATGAAGAAAGCCTAAGGTTCATGTGGCCATCAAAAGGAATAACCTACATGAATTCTAGGACAGGAAGAGACAAAACCACAGAGAAAATTGTCAAAGATTTGTTGGAAGAGAATTTCCCTGATATGATGAAAGATGAGAATATATCCATTCAAGAAGTCCAACAAATCCCAAACAGG